TAGCGATAATAAAAAGTACAGGGGATAACACTGATGCTTCAGGTTTGCCTAAACTCCCCGAGAAGTAAGAGGAAAAGTGTTCACACCCAATGTGAATAGTGCCCGTATGGTTTGAAAGGAACGTAGGTATGCAATTGTGTATTTTTTTAGCAACGCCTCTGGCACTCAGTTCACTCAATATGCCGTTGTGGCTGACGTTGTTGAAACCCCCGTGGAGATCGAGGCTGAGAACTGCTTGAGAATCGAGGCTAGAGTTAGGGATAACGATTTCATGCTTCAGTCGAAGCATGACATCTTGGCTGCAGAGGGATTGACGGAAGCCTATCATTTCGTCAGGGTATAAGTTGTGTTCTTCTATAAATTTGTTAAGGCGGTTGAGAATGACTTGTTGAAGTGCCTTTTCGATGCATGAAGTGAGGGAAACAGGCCTTAGGTTGGCTGTGGTTATGGGCTTACCAGGTTTTGGTATGAAAATAACTCTGTCGTACTTCCACGCAGATGGCAAGGTAGAAGTGTCGAGGCACTGGTTAAAAAATAGTGAGAGCTATAATTGAGTTTTCATCTAAGTTGTGGAGAAGTTTACTAATGACAAGGTCAGGGCCCAGTGTGGATGAAGTGTGAAGGTTTCCTAAGCGTGTGACTAACCTCAGCCTCCATTATGGTACTGCTGAGATCATCATTTGTTTGTTAAGTATATTTGTCGCAGAGATTGTTTGTCGCGAAGATTATTAAAAAGAGTGTTTAGGTTACCTTTGTGCAAGTGAAGTAGTTTGTCAATGTGATCATTATTTGCGGTGCGTGATGTGTTAGGGTCTAATAAATGCGCATTAGCTGCCATGTTCTTTTGCTATTTAGGTGGCCATGCTTACTTTCACATTTTTGGGTCTGTTGTTGGCAAGCAAGCTGTATAGCATAGTCCTGAATTTGCAAATCAAGTCTCGCAATTCTCAGTCTCAGTCGGCGATTGTGTCGCCTCTTTTTCCAGCGTTTTAAGAGAGACTGCTTAGCTCCCCACAAGTGAAGAAGTCGGGCGTCAACTGTTGTAAAAGGCGTGGTGTGCGTTTTTGTGTCAGTGTGCAGTTGTACCCATTGCGAGGTATCGTCTGTCTCAGTAGGGCGCCGAGCAATGACGGGCCTCACGGAACTTGTTCCAGTTCCAGGCTCAGGGGCTTGGAAACTAGGGGTTTTTGTCGAAAGTGTATGGTAGTTTGAATAATGTAGTGGTCACTACCGAAGTTAATATTCAAGTTGGTCATGTGACACACTGAACGCGATGGCTGAGTGTCAGATCGGAAGATGTATCTTTAGCTACACTATTACCTAATCTAGTGGGTACTTCTATATTGTTGTGGTGGATGAGGATGTGGTCCTGTATGTGAACCCATAAAGGCCCTAGCAATGGGTGTAGAAACAGAGTGGCCCCATACTTGATTTGGTGCACTAAAATCACCAAGTATTAAAAGAGGGTGACGTTTCGCGGCCACAATAGCTCAGGCAAAGAGAGTATTTAAGTGATGGTGTTTTGGCTGTGGCCGACTACAGATGTTTAATACGTATTAAGGCGACTCTTGAGTTTTAAAAAAGGACTTTCAAAAAGCTGTGCTCGTTGTAGATGCCGTCGAAATTAGAGTAAGTTACCGTCAAGTGTTTTTTCGTTAATATTGCAGTATCAGGAGAATTTAGAGATTTAGATTTGTGTTCACTGTAACCCAGAAAAGTTATGTTTCTTTGGGTCTCTTATAGGACAATGACTGCATGTAGATTGGGGCAGGAGACCAAGTATTGTTGAAGAGTCGCTTTCTTTTTGCGGAATCCCCTGCAGTTCCATTGCCTCACCACAAAGTTCGAGTGATTAGGGTTTGCGGCCATTGTCGGGAAGAGGTGCAGAGAAGAGGGCGGGTAAGGCTATGTTTAGCTTGTTGGCCGTGACGGCCGCAATCCATGCAGTGAGTGGTCTGCTGCATTCGCGTTTGTACAAAATCTAGAAAATTGTCAAGTTTGTCATTTATGTCAGCTTGGCCGTTCTCGAAAACCGTGAATCGGCTCTTTATGTGAGAAATCTTGCTTTCAATGCCGGCGAACTTTTTCTGCGTTTTATTTTCGAGGGCGTTTATATTATCATCAAGAGTTAAAACTCAGTCGCTGAGAGATGTTTCCGGGCGTGGTGTGATAGGGGTTTTGTGCTTATTGGAGGATGGCGGTGAGGTGTCTCGAGACATTGGGGGTGTAGTGTCTATGTCAGTAGGAGGAAGAGGTATCGTGGGTTCAATAGTAAGGGGCGAGTCAGCAGGAATAGAAGATCGCGGCTCGGATTGCGGCGAAGGATTGCTAAGGGGCATTTGGGACTGAAGTTCGAGCTTTAGCTTTTAGATTTCTGCCTTGAGACTGGCGTTTTAACCAGAACTTACTCTAGGCTAATGTTTTGAGATGAGGAGCAGTTAGAGGAAGCTGCCTGTGCCCAGCTTCCCCTAATGGGTTTGGCAGATGGCTGGTAAGATGGGGGTCCTCTGACAGGGTTGGGAAGTCGAGTTCTTTGGGAGACGAGTTTGGGCCCCATCTCTTGCTCTTGCTGCGACCCCACTGTGGGCCACGCTCTTGCGATCGATTCAGGTTGGGTGTCCGGGATGATGGACCTTCCAAGGGTTTAAAGGTGTTTGGTATTTAGGTGTCTTGGTTTTGTAACGCTGTTTGCACTGTGGTGAACTAGTGAGGTGAGCTCCACCACACATGACACAGACAAGTTCACATTCATGGCCCATTGAAGAATCCTGGAGTACACATTTGTGACAGCTTTGATCGAGAGTAGAGGGGCAGACATCCTGTCGATGTCCAATTTTTCGGCAACGGGTGCAGGTTTACACCTTCAGTCAGAATGGTAGACAGCGAAGCGTGCAACCTTCGTAGTTGATGTAAAAAGGGACGCGCGTGCCCCGGATTGCGATCGAGATGGTTTCGGTGGTGCCCAGTCGGCTCGCGGCCCCAATGGTCATGGCTGGATTGCATCTTTGGAGTGTTGGAAGGATTTCCTCTTCAGTGTAATCCAGAGGGAGATAAAACCTTCCACGACAGTAATCTACAGGATCGGCAACATAGGTGACAACTTCATAGAGGACGCTGTTGAACTTTAAGGTCCGGATGTTGTGGTGTAGATCCGCTTGGTCCATGCTTGACGTACTCGCGAGCACTGTGTGATTGGTAGGATGGACCCTGATTTAATCAGGGCTGCTGATGGGCAGTCCGACTGGCTTGAGAACGAGTTGTTAGACGCAGTGGTGCAATTCGGTACAGTCGAGACCCCCGCGCATCCGTAGAATAATCACCTTGTAGTCCGCATCGGGCAGCTCTGGGAGTTTAGGCTCCCATGTGGATGGCTTCTTCAGATCCGCTGCCCAGGTGTTAGCCGATGAAATGTGGTCAGTGTGACGACGGTCGCATGCACAGCACTCCATGAGCGAGCGGCGCCGCGCCGTCTCCAGCAGCAACACCCGCTGTGACACTGGCCGCGTCTCGCTGGGCGCCTCCGGTCATGCTAGGCCGGCGGTTAGGTCTAGTGCGGAAGCGGTCAAGGTGAACAATAGTCAGCACTGTTCTCAAGGAGTATTATCACATGCCGACAAGGTGTCATATAGGTGCCAGGTCCATTTACAGTTGGTGTCATGTGCAATCCACCAACTGTGATGACGTGTCCAAGGATCTGAAAAGGCGTTCATGACATGGAAAGTATGCGGAGCCAAAGGTACACACGTGGGTGCTTGATGTGGATCAAGACGCCTCTCCAGGCTGCTGTAAGCTGCTTTGCTTCCCTCGTGCGCCGTGACGTGCCGCAACGTGACATCGCTGCCCGTCTATAGTGCTAAGAGTGACTACACAACATGTAGAATCGCCAGTGTAATAGTGATCACGCTGATAGTGAGCCACACGTTCAAAGAAGAACAAAAACGTGCTAGAGCTGGCAGTGTATGGTGCCGTACGGACTTTGCTTCTTGCTGTCGTCGTGACCCTGTTTGTAACTTTGAGCTTGCTCACTGATACGAAAGGAGAGTAAGCGCGTTAAATTGTGTACCAAATACCTTTATATCCGCACGAATTTTGCAGAATCTAAAATACTTTTCTGTAGCCAATTAAGGAGGCAATAAGCTCCTCTCATGCGGTCGTGCGATGATTTCTCGGAAAGTGCTGGGGGGGACTTTGAAGAAAGGCATGAGCGACTGGGCGAGAAAGTTTTGGTGGCAGAAGCATGAGACATTAGGGTGTATTCTCGAGTAATTAAAGAGGTAGCTTATAAAATAAAGAAGGAAAATATTATGCTGGACACGCCATGAAAGGCCTGTGCCGTTTATTAGCATCCCAATATATGTGTCAAGATAATGGAAGCAAAAGGGAAGATTATAAGATAAAACGGCGTGTTTAAAGAGTGAACTCACCGTGAAGAAAAATTAATGAGCTAGCGCAACACAGTGGTGACACTTGGGGATTGTTATGTTACACCATAATATTGTAGTACACGTAAATTGGTTTCTCATGGAAATGTTGTTACAGAAAAGTTACTAAGGTGCCCTTCAACGACTTTGGAACATAGAACACATCGAGTTACATAATCACTGCCAAGATTTGTTGAACAACAAAATGCACAAGCAATTGTAGCGCGAGGAGCATCGCAATAAATGTGATAAGTTGAACTGTTTTGTTGTGATGTGTCTAGAGTTGTCTTGAAGCACGCTCTAATATGGTTGCTCCAGGATGAATATTTAAAATTTTCCTTGCTGCACGGAGTGAGCTCACGCATAACTACGTAGTGAAATGGGAATGCTAGTATTACAGCTAATTTCATGGCACATTTGGGTAAACACGGTCTATAAAGGTTTTTTTTCTTGGGGTTCAAATAACTACAATATCTACCACAACGTTTGAAATATGGCGAGATTCGCGTGACTGCGATGTCAAAACACATTTGAATTAAGAGAAATACAACAGAAACACTTCTTATTTCGTCAGCGTACCTTTTAAGAATGTAAGCGCACTAGAAAATGGTTCGGCGTCGATGAAGAACATGGGTCTGTCCTGAAAAATCTTCGATGGCTTGACGAAGCACTCCTTGATCATGTCGGTGTCGGTGATGACCATGTGTGGTTTGTCACCCATGTAGATTCCGAACACTTTCCCGTACTTAGTGATCCACTCTTGCATCACCTGCATTAGTAACAACGGTATATTTGAAATCCTCTTCTTTTAGGGCATAAATTGTCACGCTACTTTTTCTATCGCAGTGAGCGGGTTTTTCGAGTGGACCTCTAAACCACTCGGAATGAAAAGACGAAAAAGTGGTCGTTTTTTTTCCTTGGTCCTCACTAACTTTTCTACAGGCATATTCTCCTCCCTGTCGCTCAATTCTTCGTAAAACACGTGCACAGTGGCAGCACTAAGCGTTCAGCTTATGAGGATTTCACCCTTTGCAGCTACATGCTCATCTCTGCGCTTGCACAGTCGAAAACTCGCCAAATGAAGTGAAATCAGTTGATCGCGTACGATACTCTATAAGAGACAAAGCAGAATGGGCGTTGTCTGCATGGAAAAGCATGGTAAGAGACAATACGCAAGGAATAATTTTTGTACGTAGACTTATAGAGATTTTATTTTCCCATGACATCACGTGAACGAGCTGCTGGCGTCGCGATTTGTGCCGCCGGAAAGGCAGGCAACGCCAGGATATATATATATATATATATATATATATATATATATATATATATATATATATATATATATATATATATATATATATATATATATATATATATATATATATATATATATATATATATATATATATATATATATATATATATAAACATGTAAAGGTATTGGTTAGCGATTAACAAACTAACAACATGGGCAAACAGAAATGGTTTCCGCTTTTTGCACAAAAAACCGTGGCCAGTGGCCATTCTCTTCTTTGTCTAACGAGGCATACTGACAGACACTATCTTACACCTAAATCAAACCGAATTACGAGCAAAGAAAGAACACAAGTTCTTGGGTATAGTATTTGATAAGAAGCTTACACTCGTCCTATACATAATAGCGTTCAAGAAAAAAGCATCCTAATCTCTCAATATATAAGGTCATGTCACGCAAACGCGGGGGCTTATATAGGACAGGTCTACTAAAAATTTACCGCTCCGCTGTACGATCCTACCTAGATTATGGTAGTATAGTATATGGATCAGCGAGAAGATTGTGTCTGAAACAGCTGGATCCGGTACACAATCAAGGTCTGCGCCTCGCAAACAGTGCATTTAGAACGTCACCTATAAAAAGTCTGTATGTAGAAGCAAATGAGCCACCACTGACAGATAGGATAATCATGGTCACATGCTCATACGTTCTAAGGATTCGATCAATGCCCAACGACCTGTGCACCCTATAGTAACTCTAGAACACTATTTATTAACAAACCCCAAGCAATTAGGCTGCTCCTTCTCCGATTTGAAGAGAGGTGCCAAGATTTAAATATAAAGGACACTTTGCCGATGATTGCTCAGAGACCCGATGCCCTCCCACCTTGGTCCTGCCTCTCTCTGTGTGCGACTTCACGCTGACTCAATTACGAAAGAAGCAAACGCCGTGTGAGCTTATACTACAGAAACTCCTAGCACTTCAGGCAAAGTATGTGAGACACACAGCATTTTACACCGGTGGTTCCAAATCGACACGATATGTTGGAATTGCGGTAATACACAATCATTCGGAACATACAGTTTGGCTACCACAATGCGCATCCGTATTTACCGCAAAATGCTACGCAGTCTCAACAGCGGTGAAAAAAAATAAAAAATGAAATCATCGAGAACAGTATACTATATGCAGACTCATTAAGTGTACTAAGAGCCCTTCATCCGAAAATGCGTGTGTACCAATGATAGGTGCATCCTGCCCAACATAATAACAGTTATAGATCAGGGACGCAACATAATGCTTTGCTGGGTACCCAGCCACGCCGGAATCTCTGGAAACGAGAAGGCAGATGAATGTGCAGCAAAAGCACGACGTAACGAAATAAAGAACGTCAGCATTCTCTACAAAGACGTCATAAAATCAGTACACCACAAACTCAAAATGCGTGGCAAGCTAGATAGCACTCAGAAACAGAATACAAGCCCCACCTAGTGAAACCCATCTTAGAAGAATGGAAGTCCTGCTCACACGAAAAACAGTTCATAGAAGTAGTCGTATGTCGTGTATGCATTGGACACACACACCTAACACACAATTGCTTACTAGCAAAAGAGGACAAACCTCTGTGTCCAAAATGAGGTGGTGAGGCATCAGTAAATAAATTTTACTGTCATCACTAAACTAGAAGAGTTACGAAAAAAAAAACATTATCGTATCTTACAATGAACATATATCTTTTCATCCTGCACTGCTTTTAGGTGAAGACGTGCTTGTTGATAACTCAGAAGTGTTTAGCTTCTTAACAGAAGCATGTTTTAGACCAACTGTATACACTGCGTTGTCTAAATACACAGAAACGCCTCGTAGGGCTTCGCGCTTTTGAGAAGACGATCGAGGTGTTTTAGACCTGGTTGGTATCCTCGAGGCTCTTGTCCAGACAAGGACTCGGCGAGGCATCCCAATATTTTAAGAGAATCATACCATGCGTTTGGTGCATGATGGCCTAAAGCTGCCTATGCACCACAAAAACCAAACCAAACAGAACGTAAAGATTGTCAAGTCATATCCTTTCAAATGTACTACTGTCGTCTCGTTTACTAACGGATCAATGGTTCTATGTCCGGCATGTCGAACAGCCACCGCATACACAACTAAAATCCCCCTAGCGCGAATTCTCAGAACAAATTAGTATTCACTTTAAACGCCCATTCTCGTCTTTTGGCGACACCACCTGGTACCTCTTCAAAGCGGAAGAACTACTTAAGACACCTTTTCTTCCTCGCCACCTCACTGGAGCCTCGGGACGCCGTCTTGCGCGGAAGAAAGACGACAACCTGCCGGTCCCACCACAGCCGCCCAGGCCATCGATGCTTGAATAGTGAAGGTCGGTCAAAAAAGAGCTTCCATGACATGCAAGCCCTTACCTTAGCCTGCCACGTCGGTGTACTTCTCTACGCATTTGAAAAAACCGGTGGGTTCCTGGTCGGCACTGGGAATCTAACACGGTACATCCTTCATTGGAAGCTGACGCCGTAACCACTGGGATTATAGGTGTTGCTTCATGCGCAGAGGAACAGAAAAGTATCGAAGAGTATCTACCAAGCCACCGTGGCGCGGCGTGTGGCCAGCAGGTTCCCGACAGATGCTTAGATTTGCTGTACTTTTGTGTTGATTGATTGATTGATTGATTGATATGTGGAGTTTAACGTCCCAAAACAACCATATTAATATGACAGACGCCGTAGTGTAGGGCTCCAGAAATTTAGAGCTCATGGGGTCCTTTAACGTGCGCCCAAATCTGAGCGCACGGGCCTACCAATTTTTGTGTTTATGCGTTTGGACATTAAACTGTCTGCAATTTTTGGTATTTCTCCCAGAAGTCAGTGTCAAATTTTATTGGCACCAGGCTTTGCTGAAACCTCTGTATTGCTTGTTCTTTTTGGCACCAAATGCAGCTTTGGAGGCCTGCGCTCCTAGACGGCCTACCCTCTTCGAAAGAGACGCCTTTAGGTGCCTGGGAAAGTGTAGATCACGCCCAACGCAGCTTAAAGGGATTGCTGGCATTTCTAACCCCTGAATGCAGATATGTTACTTGACTCGTACTTGACTCGTTCTTGACTCAAGATAGCCTTGCCGCTCGTTATAAATTGTTCTCGAACTGTCGGACGACTTGAAGGCGACTTGGCTTGGTCGAAGTCAGGACAAGTTTCAAGTCAGCTGTGGGGCTAGCTTGAAAGCGACTTCATGCGTTATTCCAACATGGCCACCTCTCGAATGGACGTCGCGCGGAGGTTGGCCGCTGTTGAGTTTGCCACGCCATAAGCGTAGCATTTTGTGAGGCGCACTGTCTGTCAGAGATTCCTCTATCCGCTTTACGTGACCGAGGATATCCGATGGAGTTGTACGACGAGAAACAGTACCACGCTCGGTACATGGTCACGAAAATGCCTTGCGGCAGCTGCTGGCGATGTTGCCGCTCCGTGAAAGTGGAGGCAACCGAAGACGGCCTGTGCCTCCAGTGTTACGACTATACTGATGGCGCTCAGGTTTTACGGCGCTTGCACATTCCAAACAGTCACCGGGAATCTCGTCCGCATTCCGTAGTCAGCAGTGTGCCGTGCAGTCCGAAAAATTACGCGACTCATCGCAAAACACCTGTACGCGATGCTGATACGCTTTCCGTAGCCGGTGGCATTTCCTATAGTTATGCAGGACTTTTGTGAAGTGGCTGAGTTTTCTGGCGTTACAAGATGTGTCGACTGCACAGACGTGTTTATTAATAGCCCCGGTGGGGACAACGCCGAAGTGTTCCGTAACCGCAAAGGCTATTTCTGTTTTTCTAAAACACGATAATATTTGCCGTTGTTTTCGTCTCTTTCAGTACAAAATTGACTTAGCGCTGTGTCTGTGCGCCTCGTCTATCTTTTCGTCCCGTCTAGGGCGCTGTTTCTCGCTCAGACAGGCATCGTTTGCAGCAAAACGCTACGAAAAATTCCACCCACACGCACAGAAAAAGAGGTGCCCCTATGAGGGGTTCCTGACCATGTGCTTCCCCCTTCACCGTCATGCAGCGAGACATAGCTGCACCCCGTGAGACAAAATTTCGCTAAGGGAAATGTCCTGACCCCCACTTTTTCTCTTGTTTACGAATCTTAACAAAAGAATACGAATAACTTTTGTTCCCAGAAGTTGTTGCTTTTTTATTTTTTTTAAATTAAAACTGTGACCTAGCCCGCTACAAGCATGTCCACAGGCGAATAGAAAGGCGAATACCCTGAAAATCGGGTTACCGCGCGAGCCCGGTCAGCACAAATACACGCCGTGGCCTTCGATTAAAAAAAACCAAAATGACGAAAGAACCCTACGCGATGCTTGTTTCGCCTCCAAACAAGCAAGCGTGGAGAAAGGCGCTGCACTTGGGTGGCCCCTAAAACCAGCGGGCAACAGACGCTTTACAGAAGCAACAGTGCAGATCGCTGTGGCGGCGGGCACCACGTGCCACTGGTTAGCCGTAAAATGGTAAAAATATGCTTGTGGCACTTCGTTTTTGTAGTTATTTTGAAATGTGCGATATTTTTTTTTTTGCTGTAACACGGGCCTTAAGCGAACAGCTTCATTATCAAACTCGTTACCAGGTGAGCAACGTGTTTATGCTTTGAAGCTCGTTCTTGACTTGACCAAGCAAGACAGCCTGAACATCTATAAAATGCGAAGGCTGACTTGGGCGTTTTGAAGTCCGCTGCTTGCTTCACGCCGACTTGCTCAAGTCAAGTCGAAGGTGCGAGCCAAGCAACATCTCTGTATTCGGGGACAAGCAAGACAGGTTTAGAATCCCGCCTATGGAGCACCTACTAATTAAGCTAATGTAGAGACTTTTGTGCGTGTCCTACACCGACCGAGACAGTGTGTGCAGTGACTCATTGTGCTATATCACAATCACCCCTCATCATTCCGTCCTCTTTCTCTTTCTTTTCCCTTTACCCCTGTGAGAAATAGCTGGTAGGAAACCCGCTTTCCAGGCCGACCATTCCTTGTTTGTGTCGTTAAACACCTTCTTCCTCTTTTTCTGCGCACTCAGGAGACTTCCAACTGTGAAATATCTTGCCTCATGGTAAGCTATCTTAGGTGTCAAACATAATAAATTCGTACGGCTTTCCTTCAATTTGCCTTCTAATATCCACAAGGCCGTGCTTTCTGCCGCCGCTCAACCGGGAAAATGGTCAGAGAAAGGTGGCTTTACAGCACTTTACGCTAGAATACAGCAGTTCGGAATGATTCATCCTAACTGTGCTCACCACTTCGTGGTCTTCGAAGCCAGATGTTTTCGAAGCCAGACTGAACAATTGCCTAAAAAACGAGCTGCGTCAATACCCTGGTTTTAATAGGGCTCTTACCTTCGAGCACCGAACTGTGTGTCTCTTGTCGTGTCAGTAGGTCGTTGACGTACAGCGATGGACCCATGTGGCTAGGGCTGCTTATCAAGCACATAATGCTTTCACAACAGTCATACACGCATAGCACAGGTTGTAGTGGCAACGCTTTCATCATATGACACTTCTTTGTCGCAGTGAGCACGGACCCCTGTGGAACAGATGGCAGGGTATATTTAAAAAAATTATGTTTGACACCCTCCATCAGGTAGTAGCTCCGTTCATCATGCGCTTTGGGCGGAATGTCCATAGCATGTATACGTTGTTGCGTTACCATGCAGGGCCGAGGGCTTGCGAAAAGGCATAATTCTCGTTCAGCGCCACGACATAACCTGGGTTAATGAAGTTTCGGCCTGCAGCACTTCGAAGCACCAGCAGAGGTATCTATTAAAGAAAAGTTCCATAAAATAACACAGCACAAAGTCACACCTGCGGTGGACGCTGTGCTCCGGACAATTTTGTCCCTGGAAGGAATTCATAGAAAGCGTATTGTCGTGGGAGGCCATATTCCTCATATGCGATAGTGACCATCTCCTTCTTCATCCCGTATTCATAGCCACTCCAGTGATACGAGCTACTTTTACCTTGCCCCCTTCGCAGGTCGTACGTACACGGTATTTTTCATGCGCTCTGAGCAGTCGTGCCCAAGTTCCGTTCTACATATCGCTTGGCAACTAAACCCGGCTTGAAAAGTGATGAGAAAAAAACGTATAGTGCAGCGTTTGTGCGTGCTGCTATCGCTCGGGCCCCGCTGGGCCACGGCCACTATGTATATGAAGGTCAACGAGAATGAATGTCTTGCTCAAAAACAAAAGCACTAAGTCAGCGATCAGAACCCTCGTGCTCTATTTATGTAATTGCTTTAAGTAATAGAAATAAAATGCCAGTAATAAGCAGTTAATTGAGAAAAAGGTCCTACTGAGAAACTGGTCTAAATTCAGGTTGAGGACGAAATTAAATGAAAAGTAGTTACGAGATCACGGGGTAAATGCTAGCTCAATTAAATTCTGCTAACGCAGTGCGCAGCGAGATACGTTATAGAAAATGAAGTTGGGATACAAACTAACTTCCAGAACAGCGTTGTATTTAGAAAATATGCACATTGTATTGCCACATGTGTCATTTTTCATTCGGCACATATTTGGTTTTCGTAATGCGAGCGTCGGTGCTCCAACCGCAACGCTTACTCAAGTGATCCTGACGTTGGCAAGTTACGTAGACCTGTGGGTAGAAATGGCAAGAAGGGAGCGTTCGGAAACCTGTTAAGGACCTGTGTGATCAGACGTGTGAAGGCACTACGAATCTTGCTCATTGATCATTGCTAACACTACATCAAAAACACGGCGCTCTTTGGCCACACATGACCCCTACTCCACAAAACCTCAATAATCAACCAATCAACGAAACAACAAATAAATAAATAAATGAATAAATAAATAAATAAACTACCAGTACAGGTTATGGATTCAGAGAACTGGGAGTAGTAGCGAGGTGTAGAAACCGATGACGTTTGTGATGATACAGATTGTTAAAGGAAAAGCGAAAAGTGCAAGATGTGAATGCTAAATTCTATGAAGCGTTTCCAGCAGGGGTCTGAAAGACGTGGCCCTCACAAGGCTATGTTCGTCCCACATTTTTTTGGTTCTCATAATAAGTACGTTAAGTAGTTTAATAAACAAGCACGACTCGTCTAAAGCATTGTTTTCGGTAGACACTCCATGTGGTCACCACCCGTTTTAAGCGTGTTCGTAAAACAAAAGCAGTAAATCAGATTTGGCGTCCAGATTTTACTAAATCTGGAGATCGGTATGGACATGTTGTTGGGTGTAATCATGGCCCCAAATCCTCAGAACTGACCCATATGTGAGATTTGGGAAGTATTTTGTTTTTAATAAAAGCGTTTTCACGCATAGGTAGGGACCTTAGTAGTTTTACAGGAAGTGTTTGCTGAAAAATATGGTTGTACGTGCTATGTCAGATTCCGGTAAGAATTCAAAATTCAGACACAAGCGCTGTTCATACGCATCCGACCAATGCTTTCTCAGGCGTGCATGACGAAGAATTAGCACTGAAAGGGCGTAGTCTCCCCAATTGCCGAAGAAAATTGTGATATAGAATGATTTTACAAGAACACTATTTGTCCTTAATAGGACAGCAAATTGTGATGAATGTGCGATTATGATCTATATTGTGACGCAGTTTTTTGTGATGCCGAAGAAGCAAGCAGTCAAATAGGCAGATACTGAATAATCAGGCGATCTATATGGATTTAAAACAAAGAAAAAAACTCGCAATACTAGCAACGATTACTTGCAGTGGTGGCGGTCAGCACTATCTTCATTCGTCAGTAACCTGTTCGTTGGTGGAATACTTGTTTTTTTTATTGTGATAGCAATTATATCGACACTCTCGGCTGGATTTGGCGCGACCATCGGCGTCACCGTCACTCACCGTATATGTATACGTATCAATATATATGAAAACGCAAGAAAGAAAAATATTTTGAAAAATGAACCCGGTGCGCGGAATTGAACGTGGGACCTCTGAATCGTGAGTGCGAGGCGTTAACCACGGATCCACAAAGGAGCACCTCCGTCGAATTTCAAACGGCAAGCTGTTTATGTCTACCACTTACCGCTGATTATGGGGATCTCGGGGTGAACTATCGTGTTTTCTGCATTACCAGCGAGATGGCGCAATGAGCGTGCGTTGCCAGATCGTCACGACGCGGCGGCGCGCGCTGTCACCTCCCACGCGTACTTTGCCCCGCGGAGAGGGGTGTGGGTGGGGGTTGACGCTCACGAGTCTGTCCCCGCGCTTATCTCGCGGTTGGGAGAATCATACGCCTTGGCTTCTCACTGGAGCGATTTTGTTGTAGTTACTGGGCATTCAAAGGTCACTGCAGTCGTTGCACAGCCTCCGTTTGCGAAAAGGGCGCGCTTTTCAGACACAGCGAAGTGACAACTGAGACGCTTATTCGCGTTTGTCTGTATCTGTGAGATTGTTTCGTGCGTCATTAATGCGTGAGAAACGTGGGGCACGTTTCTATCTGCTTGCCATTCTGCGCGTGACCTTCAATTTTGCTGCTATCGCGTTCATTGCTTCGCCTTTGTGGCAAAGCTGTGACTTTTTTCTTTTTTTACATATCTAATCGATCGTTGTTGCGTTAAAGCGGGTGCTCCCGTAATCTCCAGAATAGAGTCAACTGCCCGCGTTGTGCGTCTCAATTTTATCAGCATGATCTAAAATGATCGCGAAGGTTCTGAACGATTTCGGTACGTCCTGCGCTGAGCCACGATGACGTTTTTTCCTGGCTTGAACACCGGTCGTTTGAAAATTAGGAAACATGCGCACGTGGCAATATAAGTTATCTCTACGCCGGAAAGCGATAAAATCGGATGCGTAACCTGTATACGATCCCTCTTGAGCTGCGTCCAGTTTCCCCAGAAGAGGTCGGGCTTGGGGCCAGGTACTCCGAGTCGCTTGAAGAAGCCGTGCTGGTGATGACGTTCTATCACCCACAGAATAAAGCAGGAGATGGCGCCTAAGGTTACCACTTGTAAAACCTTGAAAAAAAGCTCCCACGAATTCATGTTGCTCCTATTTGTTGGAGGTGGGCCAAGGGCAGCTTGCCCCGTCTGGAAAGAACCGCTCAGCTGAATAAACATTTATAACGAGCGATCGCCTGCAGTAACACTAAAAAAAACGCTTTCCTTTTGGGATTACGTTCTTTATTTGGATTTAATGTCACAATGATATTGCCTGCCGGCGCCGGACAATTTAATTTTGCTGCCGGCGCAACAGCTGTTAGATTAGAGCAGCACGTCCTGTTTATTGCAGCAGTGTTCGACAGCGAGCGCTGCGTATTCCGCGTGCCCATTCAGTGGTGATACGAGTCTGCCGCGGTTCTGAATTCCGGTTAAAGCACTCGGTTGCTGACCGGAAGGTCGCGGGGTCGATCACGGCTGTTGCATTTCTACGGAGACTAAATGCTATAGAGGTCCGTGTACTGGGTGGTGTCAGTGCGCGTTCAAGAACAGCAGATGGTCAAAATTTCCGGAGCCCTCCACTTACGGTGTCCCACTGAATCACAAGGTGATTTCGGTACGTCAAACCTTAACAGTTACCATTATTACTGACTCTACAAACGCCTAGCATTGATAAGCTACTAAAGTAGTTTAGAGTTGCCACGTAATTGCGAGAATTTTAATAATTCTCACTAACGCCAGAACAAGAAATGACCTTTTAGTGCGCAGTTGAGTAACTCGATTGCACTATTGCACTGTTAAGATACCGGAGCTGTGTGATGATTTAACCAAATAGAAAGCGTGAAATTCATTCTGACGTGACACACTCTTATCCACATTTCAAGTTATTTGTCCATCGTATTTTTTTCTGTTAAGGTCATCTCCCACCACGCACAAGTGCAGAAAAGCAAGCCGCAGTCATTGATTCACCTGCATTAACATGCGTATTCAAACCTGGTCCGAGTGCCAGAACCCCCCGATTTCTCATTTAATACAATCAGCCAAAATCATTCTTATAACTCGGCATGTGGCTCACTGTCCATACGTTGGAAACTGCCAGCCGCGTCTTTTTTTTTCGTTTCATGACGGTGTCTTTCTCTTTATTCTTATCTACGTATATCTCGTAATACTTCTATGAATGCGCATTTTTTGTTTATACCGTTACAAAATATTGACAAGATAATAATAATAATAATAATAATAATAATAATAATAATAATAATAATAATAATAATAATAATAATAATAATAATATAAAAGTCCCCATACCTCTCACTACTGGCTTCCCCAATCTAGCTTCATTACTGCCACTAATGAAGCTTTGACATGTTATTTAAATAGAGCGTTATTATCTCCAAATCCTACTGCAAATGCTTTTGTTTTGGTTACGTTCTTCTGAAAAAAATTTTATACATACGAATCAATGCCTGTGACATTGAGATGCAGACGTAGAAGCGACTGACCCACTGTCGCCCCTCTGTTCTGCCTGAGCGATTGTTTTAAGTGTTTCCCTCTGTGGAATTCGTTGTGTTGTGTACTGCACGCAGTACCTGTACACTTACTGCAACCATGAATTCTTTCAGTATTGGACGTTACGTTGCGTGTATAGGTTTAATTAGGAAGTACAGCGAACTCAATTAGCTCCTGTTGTGAGTTTGTTACAGAAATTCTTTTTCGCAAAACCAAAACCTCATCTCTCTACGTTCATTACTGAAGAACGATGGAGGGAAGTCGTCAAGGTTAGTTCTCTTATTTTGTTTTCATTGGTGATATTTACCCTATGCTTGAGCGATGTGTGGCAAGCAATAAACAATTGACAAGATTCAATTGAAAGAATTTCTCTGTTTATATTGCACTCAAGGCTTTCCAGACAATATTTTATGATTTCAACTGCAATAATTACTTTGTTGCTGTGTATGTCTTCGTAATCTAAAAAGACATATTTATTATTTTAAAAAAACTGTTACCGTTGTTAACCTTTCAACAGCGATACAGCTTTTACCCGTGTGAATAAAAAATGTTTTGCAGGTGTTCTTAACCGATACCGTAACCATATTTTAACTTGTCCTTTCATTTCTTCATGTCAAGAATTCAATTTAGCAGCTTTCAAAAATACGCGGCCAGGTTTTAAGTTGATAATCTCTTATAAAACTCCCATCAGAATACACAAACGCATCTGTTCAAATTGAGTTTATATTTATAGTGAGAAGCAATAGAAAAAAAAACTCATTCGAAAATGGTAGTGCTGCCGGCAAAATGTCACATACATATGAGAAGCTTTTTACCGTTTTTCATAAACTGTTTTCGGTTGTACTGTCGAGAAAGGCCTCTTCAACGGAATTATTCCATTTGATACGTGAAATTGTGCAGCATTTGCTGACGTGTCTGGAAACACATGCCAGCTGCGCAGTTCCAAAAAATGATTTAATGAGTACGTGAAGCAGCAACATTCATCACACATATTAACAATTGCTTTAAAGTTGCAAGGCGGAGATGGCATATTCAAATAAGCCGTACCAAGAAGCCCGCTTTGCAACAGTATCCGGCTTTATTTTTTGTTCAAAGGCTTCTTTCGTGCACGTACTCTGGGGTTTATTTGGACTGTAGCCTTTCTTACAAATGCTGTATACCAGGCACGTTGTTTTGTAGCATTGTGTGTGTGCCTCCGTGTTCTTTTTGCGTCCCGTTACCCTGCCCTGCCATCATGATTCAAATATGCTGGTGTTTTACGTACCAAAACAATAGCATGGTTATGAGTCACGCCAGCGCTCCGCTAACTTTGACCACCCATTTTTTTTCCAACCTGCGCCTAAATGTAACTGCACGACGTATATAGTACTTCCCCTCTATCGAAATCAGACTCCTGGGGCGAGGATCTATAGTCTCGCAATTTTCGGGTAAGCAGTCGAGGCTACATATCAAAAGGGCCATCATGTGGTCGCTCAACACACTGCAGTTTTCAGCAGGAAATAGAGTTATATTACCCGCTTTGCCTGTGCACGTATGACAGGTGAACTGCAAATGGCCATATTAGTGCGGAATAAGCCCGAGACTCCGCCTGATACAAAGCCCGCCTACTTTTGCGGACTGTAACTTTGACATTGCTTGTGTGACGACACGTGCTGCATGGAGCACGGCCGTTGTCTTCTGCCAATGTTTGAGCCGCTGCAAATAGTTCAATTTCAATGTCCAGCTGAATAAAGCTGAAACAGCAAGGTCAAATCATATCAGTCGCGAAGCTTGCAATGAAAAGTGTCGAAAACCTATTGCCACAGGCATCAATGCCCGCCGTCGATTGATGCGAGACTAGGGGAGGAGGGGAAAAATAAACGAAACTAAAAACTCAATATCACTTTTCGAAATAGTCGTAATTATATATATGTCAAAGTTGCATGCGTTGAGAAACGGCCGCGTAGTTCCTTTATTTTCGCCATGCTGCACGCGCGAGCCCGAAAAAAACGAAGAGTTGTCAAAAGACCATTGAAGTGTGTCACAATGCTTGGAATTGCGGTGGAAATATGGCAACGCATGGTTCTGTCAGTTCCCAAAGGATACAGACAATGCGCGATGGAGAACAGCGCCAACCAGAAACTTATGCATTAGGAAGAAGGTGACGGACACTGCGGTAGTTTGTTATAATCAATTCAATCACGACGACTTAATTCTCCTCGGTGAGTAAATCATTATTCAGGGTGTGCGCATTCTTATCAATATTCGGGCCAAGGAGAATAGTTTAGTTTATTTAAGCAACTTCTTTAGGAAATTTGTTGCGTTAAACGTGTGACTATTTTTCGCACATGCTTGTTTTCTCTGCAAGTCGCAGTGCTGCTGTCACAGAACGAGCGCTCAAAAAGGGCGCGCCGCCAAAATCTCGCTACGAAACGCCGGAGTGACGCCGCGAGGTCAACGATAAAAGAACAAAAAAGAGAAAACAAACATCCAAGGCTCCCCGGGCGTGCGACTCTCTCCCCTCGGAAGCGTGGCTTCGCCGACGAACATCCTCACCCCACATCGGTGGCCGAGCAAGCACTCGAAATTTCTAGATGGAAAGGGGCGTGTTATGCCGGGTTGAGTCATCTGTCGGGGACGGCCCTCGTACAGTCTCGCGCCTTCCCCCAGCCTCCACTGCGCATCGTGCCGACGAAATGATGAGAACTTTCTGGAATGTCGCGCGGAAGGTATTTAACCGAGCAGCGGAGAGGAGAGATCAGGAGAAGACGGAAGTTAGCGCCAGAGCGCGAAGGGATTCCGCCGTGTAGTCGGCGAAGGTTTGGTCCGTAGAGACAAAGCAGGAGAAGAAGATGATTTTCACCTGAGGGGTGACGACTCGAGCTACAGGCAAGAGTGTGTGTTTACCGCTATCGAGCGAAGACGCGTGGCAACAGCTGCGTGTGTGAAGCCGACGTGTTTCCGGCGAAGAAGTTTGAAGCTTGGAGAGTGGCCTATTGAAGACGTGAGGTTTCCTGGAAGAGAAACTTCGGCGAGGTTTCCTGGAAGAGAAACTTCGGGGGCGGCGGAACGACAACAACGCGGGACTTTGAGTGAGTGATTTTCGGAAGAGGATCATCCAGACTTTTGTTCCAAGAACTTTGGACTGGATAGGTTTTTTATCTCTTTAGTCTTTAAGTGTCTTGGTTGTTCAATGCATGCGGCTGCATTGTAGTGCGTATCGTTGTCTGTGTCCGTTGTTTCGAGTGTGGCTGATTGTACTGTGTAGTACGTTGTTTAGTGGGTGACATATTGTATTCAACTATTGTGGAGTGTGCATACTTGTGTATTGTTTTTGATCTGCCATTATTGAGAATATAATTCTGTTTTGTTTATCAACTCTCGGCTCTGACTTGTTCTTTGGGCCACAGCCGGCGTCCGCTGGCGCGCCAAAAAGGACCACTTCTAAATTGTCCACGCTTTCGTGGTGCGGTTCGGGGGGCCGATACTTCGGCCCTTGGAATGAGCCCGGCGATCGCCTCCCAAAGTAACGGGATGTGTGACAGTTAATCTGGCGTCTGCGACAGGACCTTTTGGTGCACAGTGTGCCCAAAGTAGTGAGAAAGAGCCTCGAGTGGTTGATAGTGCTATCGGAACGATTTTGTGTGTTGCTCAGTGTTCTGGTTAACGAGTGCAGGAGAGTGTTCCGATATACTGAGTTAGGCAGATATTTTTTGCACGTGGCAAGGTTTTATTTGCGAGACACAATGGATCTCGACAAATTAGTTGCTCTTGGTGAGAAGATGGGTCTTTCTGGCGCCGAACTACAGAAGTGGGTAAGCCAGAAGGAGAAAGAGGCGGTGGAGAGAGAGAGGTTGGCAGCGGAGAGAGCCAAGGAAGAAAAAGCAGCTGAGTTAGAACTAGAGAGGTTGGCAGCCGAAAGGGCGAGAGAAGAAAGAGAAGCAAAGGAGCGACAGCTGAAAGAAGAAAGAGAGGCGAAAGAGCGACAGCTGAAGGAAGAAAGAGAGCAGCAATTGAAGTTGGAGCTGGAGAGAGAAAAGTTGGCAGCCGAAAGGGCGAGAGAAGAAAGAGAGGCAAAGGAGCGACAGCTGAAGGAAGAAAGAGAGCAACAATTGAAGTTGGAGATGGAGAGAGAAAGACTGGCAGCTGAGAGGGCGAAAGAAGAAAGAGAAGCGGAGAGGGCTGAAAGGGAACGACAGCGGCAGCACGAAATGGAACTCGAGCGCCTCCGTTTGCAACAGCGAAGTGAAACTCCCGTCCAAGCTAGAGTTGAAAGCAGCGAACGGGAAGATCATGGTTTCCGCTTGAACCCAAGCAAGCTGCTTGTAGCGTTTGATGAAAGGAAGGACGACCTTGACGCGTACCTTCACCGGTTTGAGACGATTGCGAGGAGTCTGAATTGGCCGGAACATCAATGGGCAACTGCTTTGAGTACTTGCTTGAGTGGTGAAGCTCTCAGTGTGTACGGTAGGCTGACGCCGACCGATGCAACCAACTATGCAAAGGTGAAAACTGCTTTGCTGAAGCGATTTATATTTACTGTGGAAGGATTCCGGGACAGATTTCGGACAGGAAAGCAAGCTGATGGTGAGACGGCTACGCAGTACGCCGCCCGACTTAGCCATTATTTCGACAGATGGATTGAACTTTCAGGGACAGCGCAGGAGTACGATGAGCTTAGAGAGCTCCTAATTAGAGAACAATTTCTTACTAGTTGCCACCCAAGCCTGTCGCTGTACTTGAAAGAGAGGAAGGCTGGGTCACTTGAAGGAATGCTTGAATTGGCTGATCAATTCTTGGAAGCGCAAGGTGGAACTAATTTGGCCAAGGTCATGAAG